TTTATTATGCCTGTATAGGTCTTTGATTACTTTTATTGAGTTATTTTAATACTTCAACAAACTAAATGGAAATGAAATAATATATATATATATTTAATGTATTTATATATATGTACATGTATATGTGTGTGGCTGTACATACACATATGTAGTTGTTTTTTTGGTGTTTGGCTTAGTGTTATGTTAGAATCATTATTATACTCTTATACCTTTTGTTCTTTAATATTTTGAATTGTTTTTAGCTTTATTTTTTTGTTTTCATTTAAATGTTTAGTTTTGAAATGTTGTTGAATGCATTTGTCATTTTTATTTAATTTCTTTTATTTTCTTAAATGTGTGTATATACAGTGGGTACGGAAAGTATTCAGACCCCCTTAAATTTTTCACTCTTTGTTGTATTGCAGCCATTTGCTAAAATCATTTAAGTTAATTTTTTTTCCTCATTAATGTACACATAGCACCCCATATTGACAGAAAAACACAGAATTGTTGACATTTTTGCAGATTTATTAAAAATGAAAAACTGAAATATCACATGGTCCTAAGTATTCAGACCCTTTGCTGTGACACTCATATATTTAACTCAGGTGCTGTCCATTTGTTCTGATCATCCTTGAGATGGTTCTACACCTTCATTTGAGTCCAGCTGTGTTTGATTATACTGATTGGACTTGATTAGGAAAGCCACACACCTGTCTATATAAGACCTTACAGCTCACAGTGCATGTCAGAGCAAATGAGAATCATGAGGTCAAAGGAATTGCCTGAAGAGCTCAGAGACAGAATTGTGGCAAGGCACAGATCTGGCCAAGGTTACAAAAAAATTTCTGTTGCACTTAAGGTTCCTAAGAGCACAGTGGCCTCCATAATCCTTAAATGGAAGACGTTTGGGACGGCCAGAACCCTTCCTAGAGCTGGCCGTCTGGCCAAACTGAGCTATCGGGGGAGAAGAGCCTTGGTGAGAGAGGTAAAGAAGAACCCAAAGATCACTGTGGCTGAGCTCCAGAGATGCAGTCGGGAGATGGGAGAAAGTTGTAGAAAGTCAACCATCACTGCAGCCCTCCACCAGTCGGGGCTTTATGGCAGAGTGGCCCGACGGAAGCCTCTCCTCAGTTCAAGACACATGAAAGCCCGCATGGAGTTTGCTAAAAAAACACCTGAAGGACTCCAAGATGGTGAGAAATAAGATTCTCTGGTCTGATGAGACCAAGATAGAACTTTTTGGCCTTAATTCTAAGTGGTATGTGTGGAGAAAACCAGGCACCTGTCCAATACAGTCCCAACAGTGAAGCATGGTGGTGGCAGCATCATGCTGTGGGGGTGTTTTTCAGCTGCAGGGACAGGACGACTGGTTGCAATCGAGGGAAAGATGAATGCGGCCAAGTACAGGGATATCCTGGGCGAAAACCTTCTCCAGAGTGCTCAGGACCTCAGACTGGAACTAAGGTTTACCTTCCAACAAGACAATGACCCTAAGCACACAGCTAAAATAACGAAGGAGTGGCTTCACAACGACTCTGTGACTGTTCTTGAATGGCCCAGCCAGAGCCCTGACTTAAACCCAATTGAGCATCTCTGGAGAGACCTAAAAATGGCTGTCCACCAACGTTTACCATCCAACCTGATAGAACTGGAGAGGATCTGCAAGGAGGAATGGCAGAGGATCGCCAAATCCAGGTGTGAAAAACTTGTTGGATCTTTCCCAAAAAGACTCATGGCTGTATTAGATCAAGAGGGTGCTTCTACTAAATACTGAGCATTTTTCAGTTTTTCTTTTTTAATAAATCTGCAAAGATGTCAACAATTCTGTGTTTTTCTGTCAATATGGGGTGCTGTGTGTACATTAATGAGGAAAAAAAATTAACTTAAATGATTTTAGCAAATGGCTGCAATATAACAAAGAGTGAAAAATTTAAGGGGGTCTGAATACTTTCCGTACCCACTGTATATACACATACATACATACACACACACATATATCAAACGACAACAGCTGTAAATCACAATGATACATTCTTTGTTGTTTTATTAATGGAGTATTTATGTTGTTCATTTTTCTGTTCATTCATTCATTCATTTTTGTCTAAATGTCTGACATGATGGTAATGGTAACATTATTTGGGAATGTGTATCTTTGTTATGAAAATATAAATTGTACACATAAATACCTAATAAATTGAATATAATAGTATAGTTAACAAATGCAAATTTGTAGTAATTATGTGATTTTAACACTTCTTTTACCATTTTTAGTTATTCAAAAGTCTTTAAAATCAACCATTTTAAATAAGAAATGAGATCAAATTAAAGAGAAAGTTGCTTTCTTTTTTAAAATAATCCTTAATGTTTAATAGTTAAAAAAATCCTCTTATTGTTAAAAAAATAAATAAAATAATAATAATAATAATAATAATAATAATAGTCAAAAAATAATAATTTCCCCATATTGAAGAATCACCCATTCATATAAAATAAGTATACTAAGTCACTGTAGATCATACGGGTAATATATCATTCATGCTGCATCTGAATCATTTTAGCTTTTCTCTCTGTATTTGTCTTACAGACACATTTTGAATGCATTACAATCTTGTGTTTTATATTCCTTTTTTAAGATCAGTCTTCCACAGCCTTCCACACATAAAGGAACCTCACGTACGAGAGAGAAATAAAACCACTCCAGTAATAAAAAACTAAATTGGATTCATCTCTTCATCTTTTTCATCATTATAATAACTCAGAGTTCTGTAATTAAAAGCTGAGCTGTCCTGTGGGTGGAATTACTGTATGTATCGAAAGAGATGAGGTTTCTACGTATAAAGCATCGCTCAAGAGAACGCAGAGTTGTGAGGGATGCTGGGAAATTCAGGCTGTGCATAAGCACCCCATTTTATTCCAGGATTTATCTTACAATAATTTAAATCAGCCTGACTAGAAACTAATTCTACTGTTGGTAATCAGGGAATCATGTTAGTTTGTTGCTACAATTATTAAATGAGCTGTTTGTATATTTCATAAACTAAAAATATCCTGTCATGCTCAAAATTCACCCTGTATGCAACTGAAAATCAGGCTTTAGCGCCATTTGTAGCAAGAAAGGAAGACCTATGGGCATTGAACATGCTCAAAAAGCCTCTGCAACTCATTTTTTATGCGACAAGAAATTCAACAAGAAATGTAGTCCAGGACTTCCCAGCCCAACATAAATCAGCTCTCACCCTGAGTGTGTGGTGCTCCTGGGCCAGATATGAGCGGATATGTGGATTAGGAACCGTGGCTTCCAAAAACTGTGTCCAAAGAGCAGCCAGCTGAGCACAGAGCTGCGTCAGTTCTTTACTGATCTGTTCTGCTACCTTCTCATGACCGCTCTGCAACTTTAAAACAATCAATCTCATTTAGTCACAGAACAATACTTCTTATTGTGATGGTGTTTAACCTACATCATCATATTAATGGAGGCATTTGATAAGTAAAGTGTTTCACAAACCTGCAGTTCAATGGTGAGCTGGTTTAATGTTTCTTCAAGAGGAAGGTCCTCTGGAAATAAAAACATAAGGAGACAGTTTAGACACAGACAACAACTATTGTGGTAATACCATATATATATATATATATATATACAGTGGGTACGGAAAGTATTTTCATTTATTTTATTAGCATTTATATGCTTGTGTTACGTGATATACATATTACAGTTTCACCTGCTCCTCAGTGTTGCTTTAAAGTTAATTCATGCATAAAATTGTTATTTACTCACGCTCATGCTGCTGTAAACCGTAAAACAGATTATTTAGCACATACTCTTGGCTCTGTTTTTCTCACAACCACAGTGAATAAGTCAGGCTTTAAAAGTGAAAGCATGACTGAGATGATCAATCAATTAATTGTCATTTATTCTTCAGTGTCACATGATCCTTCAGAAATCATTCTAATATGCTGATTTGCTGCTCAATAAACTTTTCTTATTATCAATTTTAAAATGAGTTGTGCTGAATAGAAAGTAAAAAGCAACAACAACAACTATTGAATGGCTTCAAAGTTGTATTACCGTATTGTCCCGAATATAAGACGATATTTTTTTCTTGGAAATACATCTGAAAAAATGCGGTCGTTTTGTGTCCGACAGAAGAAAGAAAACCTTATGGATTTTGAAGGACATGAGGGTGAGTAAATGATGACAGGGAACTGTCTTTGAGAAAGCCACACACATTTGAAGTGAATGAGTTACATAAGAGTTTGTGATTATACCCATCTCTATGTGTTGCAGTTGAGGGATCTCCTTCATTAGCGCCGTGTAATAGGAGCGCAGAGCTCTGTGAGCCGCCAGCAACAGTTTACAGATGCGCCGGTGCCACGTGTAAGCTCTCTGCAGACAGTTCTCCGACGGCACGTAAAAACTGCCCTGTAAACACACATACATTCACACAGGACATACGAGTGGAGGTCAGATTTTACTGCATGTCAACCTTCTTCCCTGTTATATCTGCACACGCATAACCACTGTTCTCATAAGTTCTCCTTTAAGAGCTGAAAACACACGACAAAAAGAGGAAAATAGGAATATATAATTCCTCAAGACAATCTGTCTGTCTGTCCGTCTGATATCATATTTGTGTGATGTGGTTGTTATGAGCAGCAGCTGTATGTTTATGTTTGGTTGAGCCTGAAGCTCAATAATTAGATGAAGATCAAACACAAAGTAAAACTTTTAACGCAGTCAGTTTCCCAGCAGTAAAATAGGAGAAGTGTGCATACGTGGCACTCGCTTATGGAGAACGACACGGAGACGTCGTGCCGACAGGAAGTGCACACATGTAATGTAACGTAATGTAAACTCATAACGACATAAGATCATTTATATGACGTCTCTTTTTAACATAATGTCTCTTTGATGCATTTTATTTGATTTATAGCATTTTCAGCAATTTTCACATTTCTGGGTAAAAGCAAATTGAAATAAAGTTTAAAAAATAAGAATAATAAGAATAAAACATACACTGCTAATGTGTAGTACACTACTAATTGCTGCTTTGACACAATCAGTATTGTATAAAGCGCTATACAAATAAAGGTGACTTGACTACTATTCAAAGGTTTGTGGTCGGTAAGATTTGTTTTTGAAAGAAGTCTTTTATGCTCACCAAGGCTGCATTTTCTGACCAAAATAAAGTTAAAACAGTAAAATTGTGAAATATTATTACCATTTATGGTTTCACTTTATTTTGATGGTCCCTTTAACACATTCTGTTGACTGTAAGTAACATTGCACGTACATATCTACTAACTCTCATTTATAAGCACTGTTTATATTTGAAAATATTTTAGAATATTATTTATTCCTGTGATGCAAAGCTGAATTTTCAGCATCATTACTCCAGTCTTCAGTGTCACATGATCCTTCAGAAATCATTCTAATATGCTGATTTGCTGCTCATGAAGCAATTCTTCTTATTATTATTATTATTAATTTTAAAAACAGTAGTGCTGTTTAATGTTTTTATGGAAACCATGATGCATTTTTTTTTCTTTGATGAACAGAAAGTTCAAAAGAACAGCATTTATTTGAAATCTTTTGAAACATTATAAATATTTTTACTGTCACTCTTGATCAATTTAATGTGTCCTTGCGGAAATGAAAGTGTCAAAAATAAAATAAAGTGAAATTAAAGTGCCATAAAATAAAATGTCAAAAGCATTACCTTGTTACCTTTTCATACTAGCGTGGAAACAGGCTTCTATATGAATCCAAAACACTAAATACAAGCTATTTTTAAATGTACAGTTGTAGTTAACAGAAAACGCTGGTGATGCTTTAAATGTTTGGAGCAAAGGCTCATAAATTGCTGATGTAGGGGTGGTTGTGAGTTTGTTGGGCCTCTAATATGTCTTTACTGCATACTTGTGTATACTGTGTAATATGTGTGTGTATGTTTGTAAAGAGAGTACTGAACGCTGTCATTATATGTGTGAAGCTTTGTAATCTACATTCAGTTATGTCCTTTTGACTCAAACGGATGCGTACTGAATTCAGTCTCTCTCTCGCACGCACAAACATCTGCTCTGTGCTTTCTACTGACATTTCTCGCATTTTAGTACCTGTGACAGCTGGAAAACACACAGGGTCAATATTACACTCACATACAAGCAACATAGGTCATAGTTCACAGAGCCAAATTTAATGTAAGAAATTGTGTGCGCAAGGTAGAGTAAACGTGCCAGCTTGCACTGTGGGATAGTGTCATCTGTTTGCGGTCAACATGTGTATAAATACATTCATGCAAGTCTGTACGCTATATATTACAAGTCTTCTGAAGCCGTACAGTAGTTCATTACAAGTATCGATGCCCAATATGAGTTGAATCTTTTCAGTGAATCATCTGATTCACAAAACTAGTCTGAATGATTTGTTTAGGAATCAGTCTGATCTGATTGCAGCAGAAAACGTGGAGAATGAGTGAATACAATTTAACCTGACTTTAAATTTAATTTATTCTAAATTTACTTTGAAGTTGTTGTTCACTGAGCTATGTTTTAGTTCTCACAGAAGGCTGTTGTTTGATTCAGAAGTCTTGCAAATTTATATGACATTTATGATACTTTCATGCTGTTTTTGTTTTGATTCATTTAATAATGAAAACATGAGCAGTACAATCTTTCTTAATTTCTCTTTTGTGTTCAACAGATGAAAGAAAGCCAAAGGGGTTTGGCATAAAGGTGAGTAAATGATTTATTTTGGGGGGGGGGAACTATTTCTTTAAGTGTCCAGATACATTTTGGGTTAACTGTATGTTGCTTTTGCAAAAGACAAAAAGATTAACTCGTCACCTAATGAGCTTGAAAATCTTGTCTTATGTCACAGAGTGAAAAGCAGCACATTATGTCCTTCATTGTAAAGTAGAAGTGCTGAGGAGGGCTTATAGAAAGCAGAGCGAGAGAGAGAGAGAGATGCTTGCTCCTCATGTTTGAGGCCGTTAAAGCTGGGCTCGTTACGATGATCAAACGCTGCATCCCTCCAGCGAAACGCTGTACTTAATAAAGTGCCCTGCAGGGGGGGTGTAAACGTAGGACCCATACGGAGACGAGAGGCCAAGGATTTCCTGCCTAAATGGAAATCTTCACAGGCAAGAGAAACCTCTCAGTTCATCCAGTCAGAAAAAAAAAACAAAAAACAACGGAGGGCTACTTTGTCCTCAGAAAACGACCAGCAAGATCTATGCTGTTTAACTCTAAATTGTTCTGGTTTAATGTCTGCATTTCATTTAGGGCCAGTTGAAGCAGGTATTATTTGGAAAATCCATGACTGTGTTCTGAATGAATGCTGCACATTATATGCACTGCATACTGCCTGGTATTTTTTAAATAATTAATGGTTACACTTTATTTCGATAGTCCACTTTAGACATTCTATTAACTATAAGTAACTTTGTAACTACATGTCAACTACATGTCAACTACATGTCAACTACATGTCAACTACATGTCAACTACATGTCAACTAATTCTCATTAATTTGCAACTACATGTCTACTAACTCTCAGAGTAGACTGTTAGGGTAGGTTTAGGGTTAGTAGAATGTTGACAAAGAAAGTGTTAGAAGATATTAAGCAGACAGTCTACTAATACTCTACTAACTGCTAGTTGACATGTAGTTGCAAAGTTACTTGCTGTTAATAGAATGTCTAAAGTGGACTATCGAAATAAAGTGTTACCTAATTAATAATAATGGAGTAATAGGTGAAACTGAATGCATTACTCAGGCATTAGTATGCAAAGTTGTCATATGAACTCAGTATGTTTAATGTAGCATCAGGTTATTTATTTCTGAAATAAAGGGGATATACTTTCTATTAATAAGAGAATCCTGAAAAAAAAATGCATCACATTTTCCACAAAAATATTAAGAAAATCTATGAAGAAAAACTGTTTTAGTTATTCATAATAATAAGAGCCATTATTAATAAATGAGCACAATAATAAGAACCATTGTTAATACTTGAGCACCAATAATAACTGTTAATATATATATATATATATATATATATATATATATGACCATTCTCTGCTCTTTTTCTGGCAGATACTAAAAGAGAATTGAACTATCTAAAAACCCAGAAGAGCATCACAGACCAGTTTCAGTGCTGTCAGCAGTCAGATAAGATGTGAGAAAGCAGGACTGAATTAAATACTTCAGTCGAGATCAGTACAGTCATTTAAACGCATTGAGATTATGTGTATATGCAAAATGATGAGTTATGATGATAATGTTAGATGTATGTTGTTACCTCTGTTGGCACAGGTTTGCAATATCCCGCCCCAAACATCAGATTCTCCACTGACATCGCAGAGGGCGGAGCTTCACTCTCTGGAGAGCCTTTACCCAGCCATGCCCCCTTACCACTGCGCGCGAAACTACAGAAAGACAAACGACAGACTGTAAGTACCTGTGGAGTGATCAATGTGTGCAGCTGTTACCAACTGAATTAACGTAAGGGATCTCAGTGGGAACCGCTCAAAAAATTCTTCATTATCCAGGCATGGACAATCATTTGTACCACATATCTGTGTAAAAACAATTCTTGCTGGTCCTTACGGAAAACCCAAAGACACACAAATGCCTGATTAGTTTGTAAAAGTCGGTCTTGAGAATATTTGTCACTAATGAGGCTTCTGTTCTCTGAAAACCATTACACATGACAGCTGATAAACACACACTTCGGATTTGACAGCTTTACTTTCAGGAGGGTTCAGAGAAAGATCTAGCACTTTAAAAGCTGATTTTTAAAGAACAGATCCACGGCAGTGAAAACACATCACATGCTGCCAGTAACACCTCCTACGAACAGGAGATACAGATCCAACAAACAATACACAGTATTCACCAATCAACTAGAAAAGCTGGCCAGTTTATGTGACCATGCTAACAAGCACATTATTGCTTTGTAATTTAATTTAATTTTAAAAATGTAATTAAATATATTTTTAAAAATTATGTAATTTAATTGGAAAAATTAAAACTAAATAATACTTGCCTTGGAAAATTTATGATGACATCATCTAAATTAAATTAAATCAAATTAAAATGCTATACTTTAAATAACTGGTGATTTATTATTATTATTATTATTATTATTATTATTATTGTTGTTGTTGTTGTTGTTGTTGTTGTTGTATGCAGTCATATTGGGTATATTGGGTTGTGAATGTGACCTGAGAACTAAACTTATTATCTATTATTTTGTATTGATAAATATTAAATTAAATTAAAATATTATTAATTAGTAACTATAAATAATAATAATAATAATAATAATAATAATATTATTATTGTTGCTTTGTAATTTAGTTCATTTATTTTTAATTGGGAAAAAAAAACTTAATACTTGCCTTACACAACTAATGATGAAATTATCTAAATTAAATTACATCAAATATTATTATTATTATTGTTATTATTAATTGATGCAATTTAATTTAGATAGTTTCATCATTAGTTGTGTAAGGCAAGTATTATTACGTTTTTTTTCCAATTAAAAATAAATGAACTAAATTACAAAGCTACAATAATAGAAACAACAAATAATAAAACAAAGCAGCAAAATACATTTTGAAGCCATGGTAAAATGCCTTAAACTGCTGATTGGCTGAGAACTGGTGGGGCGGAGTTTGTTTGATCACCTGATCAGTGGTTGGTGCAGTGCCACCAGAGAGGCGTGGATTGAGGCGGAGATGACGGACAGGTGGAAATAGTCAAACATGACGGGCAGGTGATGGTGTAGGCCTTGGTGAGGATGGAAGTGCAAACCCAACGTCCTGCTGCTAATCAGAGGCACTGAAGAGATATCCGCCAACCTAACACACAAACACAAAATAACACGCGTTATAGAAAGACACAGTCACAGTAGACTTCACACTCCATTCATTCATTCATATGCATGTTAACAATGGAGACCGGAAACGCAAGACAATGTATTTATCATTCACAATTTTACACTGAAATTCTCTGATCCAACTCATCCATTTAAAAACGTATTAACAACTGTACTGAGATGTGGCAGCAAGAGAAAAAGACCTGAATAAAGAAAACGTAGGAGAAGGAGAGAGAACGTGAGGAGGACAGGGAGATGAACAGGTAGTGCAGATAATGAGCTCGCATCAGTGCCGTCCCTGCAGAGCTCAGGGGCCACGGGGGCCACAGGGGCTGCCGCTCTGAGCTCAGGGGCTCTGCTGCAGGTAAGAGGGGCAAGTAATTGCTCTCATTTGTGCTGCTTTGAGACAGGAGTGTGCGTGTGTATATATGAGTATTTTAAGCTCTTGCACACTCTCTCACCTCAGCTCCTTAAATACCGACAGACAGAGAGATCATACAGATGACAGTAAAGAGGGAGAGAATGGTTGTACTTTGTGTGTGTTATAAACTGCGTACTATTTTTTTAATAGTATGTGAAATAATATGAAAATATTTCAAAATGTATGCTACATTATTGTCACGCAACCTCATTGTGTTGCATGTTTAATTCAGTGAGTTGTTTTCACCTGTATGTTTGGTATAACTACATGACCTACTACATTTGACAAAATGTACTGAATGGAGTGTGCTGTGTGGAATACACACTTCAGTTTGTTTGATCATCTTCCATTTTCACTGTGATGGATGAACAGGAAGCAATGCCATTGATTTTTAATATATCTGTGTTGACATTGTTGCATCGGACTGCCAAATGTGAAGATACTATTCTATATTGGAAGGAGTGCGTAACGTTTTCTGTTTGACATACTATTGTGAAACAGAAAACATGTTATTACTATTAAAACATAGTGGGCAATAAATAGTATATACTACAGTATGGAGAAGGCTAGTATTTCATTCTGGGCATGTACAATGTGTTCAAAAGTTTGGTGTCAGTAAGATTTTTTTTT